GGGAGCTTTAGAAAACAGTTAAAAGTCTTTTGAAATACTTTATAAATCGAAATGGGACTCTTTAGTGAACCGAGTACTTAAGGGATCAGTAGTACTAGGACATGAAACAATTTTATTAAATCTGAATACTTGCTCGAAAGGAGTGCGAATCGCCCATGACTATGTGGTTGGGAGCCGAGGACCTTCTGCCTATAAAGCACTACGGAGCTACCCCGAAATAGAAAATTTTTCAAAATGCCGGGTAAGGTTTCAGAGTGAGCTGTTCTGTCTTAGAATTGACACGCCGTGCTGTGCTTCCTGACCCCTGCGGTGTTTACAGCCTGGACGATAACCCAACCCGCTCATTAGCATATTCCTTAAGCCGCATGCAGATATTTTGTTAAATTTGTCGGGGCGACATCGGTTAATAAAATAATACAGGTTTCAAGTGTACGGGTCTAGAATGCATCGTCTACACTTTGCACGGCCTGTTCGCCACCCCAAGTCAAGTCTCCTTCAGTCACCAGGCATCGGACCCCCTTTCCTGGTTTCTACCTCCTCCTCCCCTTTTTTCCTCTCGTAACTTCTAACCCGTTGTCTGTGTCTGAGTTTTTGTCTGTCTCGTTCATTCGTTGCTTTTTGGTTTATATAGCACATATGAGTTAAATCACACGGTTCTCGACGTTTTCCGTCTGGAGGAAAAAGCAGCGTGCGTACTTTCAGGACTTCCTCGCTTAAGGAAGATTTGATGCGCTGACAATTAGGGAAGAATTAAGTTCTAAATGGAATTCAGAGCTCTGTGTGGTTAAGGCGGAGGCGGCTTGTTTGTCTGGGAGGGGGACTTGAATTGGACGCTACGGGTTTCGGGTAGAAGAGAACAGGTATCTATTTTGGTGTCAGAAAAGGCGTTAGAGAGCTAGTGACGGGGACTGTGTGCCGAGGAGCTGAGCCCTACTGCTGGCTCACCTGATCCTGTAAGAGATGGAGGGGAGCCTGAGCAAGGCTCCATTTCTGGCTGTACCAGGCTCCAGGAACGCGGACTGATGGGCGGAGTGGGCAGAGACCTTTAGGGACCCAAGGCTCAAATCTTGGGCTAAGGATCTGGAATTTGCGACTTTGGGGACTGTCTCTCATTTGAGGATTGTCTCTCATTTCGCACATTTAAAGACTGCTCGTCCGCATCGCTCTTTGTCGGACGTTTTTAAATTCTGGAATAAACTCATTGAAATACCATTTCTGTTTTTGCCAGAAGTGTAGATGTAATGTTTTGAATGAAAAATCAAAGAAGTTACAAGGGTAATGACGAGGAAAACGTTGCATGTGAATGTCCAAGTCAGAGGCAGGAACTGAGTGACAGAACCCACATCAGAATTTCAGGGGAAACATATTTTAAATCGTGAGACTTACGTGGAATGGTGGTCTGGCCATTTTCCGTTGATCCTCTCAGCCGAGGATTTTGCGCGTCGCCGTCACTTGTATGGAGGCAGAGTTTTCAGTGCTGGGGGAAAAAAGGTAAAAGCTTTTTTATTTCAGTCACTCCTTGACACGCGAGAAGAGGGCGCTCGTTTCTGGAGTCATTTCGACGCAATGGTCATTTTAATCAGTGGCTTCGTTTGCCGCCGGACCCCTGATCACTCTTGGATTTCTCTTTCTTTCCGTGGGACCTTTTCACCTTTTCGTTTTTCAGAATCTCGCTCCTATCCCCATTGTTTTGTGGTGTGGCGGGGGGTGGGGGCGCGGTGGTCAGGTGACAGGACGGGTTGCGAGGGCGGCAGAGGAGGCCCCGCCCCCGCTCGACCAGCGCCCTCGCTCGGCGCCGGGCACTCTGGAGAGTGAGCACACTCCTGGGATGCAGGGCACGGAGGCGCAGCCCCGCCCCCGCGGGGACTGCATGACTTGAGCTGTGACCAAAAGGCGCAGTTAGTAGAACGTTTCTCCTTTTCCAGCTCACCGTCGCCTAGAAAGAGTCCATTTTCCAGCAGAGCCAGCCCAAGTAGGTGCAGACCGAAAAGTACTGGACTGGCAGCTCCTGGACTTGCAAGCGCTGCCCCGCACGGCGCCCGAGGCCAGGCGGCTGCGCTCCTCGTCCTCCCGGGCTTAGCTAATCACGTGAAAGCACGTTCCAGGGCCCCCCGAAACCCTCCAACTCTGCAGCGACTAGGCTGGCGGAGGGCCGAGGGGGCGGGAAATGGCCCCAGGGGAAACCTTCTAGAAGCGGGCACTGGCTTGCCTTTAGGGATGGTGGCCAGCGACGAAATGCGGGTCGCGCTGCTGCTGCTGCTGCTGCTGCTGCTGCCGCTGCCGCTCGGGGCTCAGGTAAGGGGACGGCCGCGGGGCCGCGAGGCTCGGGCGGGGGCTCCGGCGAGGGAGGACCCCGAGAGCCGGCAAGGGGGCCGAGCCGGGATGGCGCGGGCGGCGGGACCGTGGCGGACGGACTCGGACTGAGTCTCGGTTCTG